TATAAAGCTTCAGACATCTATCCTACTTCCCAAATCAGAGATACCATAAAGTATCTATGGCTGTGCACCACCAACCATTTATTCTCATATTGAGCTGCGAGTGCCGTGAACGTCATGAAGTCCCTTTTGCTGTGAATTTATTACGAGCACATACTTTTGAACATCTCCCACTCCACAATTATCTCCAAACTTGTTTCAAGAAAAAACTTTCTAGTATGGTGTTCTGGATTTAGAAAAAGGAGAAAAATGAGATTAAAAAAAGAAGAGGAGAATGAAAATGAGTTTATACTTTACAGCTTTTACGCCCTAGGTATAGGTGGGGATTGCGCACTCTGGAGTCAGTCTCTCCTTGCTCTGACAAGAGTTAGGGCAAGTTACTTAAACTCTGCAAGCCTCACTTTCCTTATCTGTAAAATGGGGATAAAATATTGAGCACTTAAGAAATGTCCTTGTGACTCCCGGGGACAAAAAAAAAAAAACACACAAAGGAATTTTGAGGCTTTCCTCTATAGCTATATTAATCCAGATGGTGCTGAACGGGAGGAGGGACAGATGGGAATACACACACCCGAAGCGCAGATGAGCTCTCAGATCATTTCGAGCGAGTCATCCACAAAGTGCTCGTACATTTTCACCTGTGACTCAATGCGAACTTTCTCTAGGGACGTCCCTATGAGCAAGATCATCTGTCCTGGGCAAAGGGTTCTGGCACTGGTTTTCCTCAGGGGCCCTTTTTACAAAGATTCTCAGGGAAATAGAGGAGAGGAAGGGAGGAAAATTAGTTGGGGTAAAGGTATTTTCCCAAACCGTCAGAGCGTGTGAGCCTCTTCAGGCAGACCCGATCTCCCCCTGGGGGTGGAGTGTGCTCCTCTCCTCTTCCCTCCTTCCCCACCCTGCCCAGGCACCTGGTGCCACCCCTGCCTCCTCCCCATCTTTATTATGTTGCCCCAGGCTGCCTCACACCATGCTCGGTTTATTTTCTAATTATTTTCTCCTGCTGCAAACTTTAGCCAGCCCTGTAGATGTGATATCTGGTGATTCTGGGGAACTTAGAGAGGCATTTATTTATTTTCTTATTTATATGAGCTATATTAGTTGGGAGTTCTCCTTTTGGAACTAGTGAGGTCTAGTTTGTCCACTGTGATGATCTCTGGGGCGGCGGGCACCATCCCAGGCTCTCCTGCAGGAAGGAAGCAGCTCCCTGAGCCTCGCCCTGCCCCTCAGTGGAAGGGCTGTCCTGGATTAGGGATGCCTGACTCTTTCTGGGCCACTTCACATCCACCTCATTGTTCTGCAAAGGCACTTGTGCCAGATGAGAAGTCTCCTTTTGGGCAGATTCCTGTGATTGAGGGGAGGTTGGGGGTGGGGCGGCTGGGGGCTGGAAGCAAAGCCTCCCACATGATGAGTTCTTGTCTGCAGCCATGCTCTGGGCCCTTCCCAGGGTGCGTCTTGGAGGGCTACTTGCACTGTGTCCCGCGGGTTTGCTTCCCCATCTTCATACCTGCATAGTTTCTGCCCTTTGTAGTGCTCTCACTGTGCTCCCCGTTGTGGACCTGACTAGTTGGAAGAAACCAAGCACACGGGGGAGAAGATGTCTTTTCTCTTTCAGATCTGATGTTTAAGAAATGTATGCTGAATGTAAAGAATATTACTGGGAACAGACCCAACCAATTCAGGTCAGGGTTGACTAGCAGAAGCCTGGAGAAGATTCCCTAAGACTGATGGGGATCCGATCAGCCTGGGAGAGTTCTGTTGTCAGGGTTTTATCTTGGACTTCCATCTGGCCAATGAGATCTGAAGCCTCTTTTGCAGCTCCAGAGGACAGAGAGCAGACCAGTTCCACGCTGAGACTCTGTCAATCAAACGGATGGGATAATCACTCGTCCCTCCCGTCAAGTTTGCAAGTCTAAATTTCTAGCTTACCTGAAGTTGTTCTGCTCCTGCATGGGGAACTGAGACCATGTGTCCTAAGCTAGTTGCCTGCCATTCTGTGGACCTTCCATGTGTTTCCACTTCTTACTCGAGCCGTCTTCTGTGAAAGTGAGCACTCAGGCACTGACCGTTCCCTCCGTTGGTGCAGCCCAGCCCCCTGCCCTCCTGACTCTCCATCTTTCTAACACGCAGGGGAGTGCTGGGATTTTGTGAGGCACTTAATGGTTATCTCCCCAGAATATAGGCTCGGCATCGAGGGCATAGAAGAGTTCCTTCCAGATGAGGAACACATCTTAGGATGTGACTTGAATTCTCTCGACTTCCCTGGGTTTAGTGCTGAGTGAAGACCCCATGGCACGGAGAGGGTTTGGAGCTTTAGGGTAAAGCACTGATGGAAGAAAGGAATTCTACCACGTACTGGTGTGTCTATGAGCTCTCCCACTTATGGTCTACTTAGGGATTCTACCACTGTACCCTACTTAGTGGTTCTACTACTTAGGGACCTGCCACTTGTGTGTACTGCCACTTACGGGTCCACTGTGTGGCCGTGGGTAAATAAGCTTCCTTCTTCCCTGCTCCCATAAGGCCCTTCGCCAGGCACCCTTCATTATAGTTCTCGGTTGTTTGGTGGGAGAAAGAGAGATGTTGTTTCTCTAGGGAACTTTGGAAGGTGTGACTTGGAGGTGGATGCTAGAACTTCCGCCGGAAGTTGGAGCTCCAGACCCTCCTCTTCCCCAGGTTCAGTTGCTTTGTTACCCGTTCTTCCTCTCAAACTCTGCCCACCTCTCAAGAAGAGAATGATTACTCACAAAGACAAACCAAGCACAGAAATAGCCAACCTATTTGTGGCTTAAATGCAAGCAGTTTTATTTTTACAGTGAGTTGCTGTATTTTCTCTAAGGATAAATCATTATCTACCACAAATGCGACTCCAGCTCCATCTGCGATAGTTCCTGCTTTGTTAGTGGTGCCAATTAGTCACCAAACAACTGGGGCCTTCCGCCACCCACTCAAGCTGGGGGCAAAGAGAGCCACCTCTTTCAGACTCCCCCGGCCAGCCACCAACCCCTTCGGAGACTCTCCCCCTACCTAGAAGCCATCGGGCCACCCTGGCTTCCTGGTGGCTTGCTCTTCAGTCACCTTGTGACCATTATCAATTTCCAACTTGTGCAGCTTGTTGTCCTCTGCCCATGTGGACAGACTTCTGTTAGGCACTGGAAAAAGCAAATTGGTGAGGCCCTCTGTTCTGTTGACTTACATAATGACGTTGGAGTCCTCCTTCTAGTTGCTCACTCTGAGCAGGGTTTCACAGCACCCATAGGGACAGGGTGAAATGTTCATAACAGCTGGACAGCCCCTGATCTGAGAAGCAACGAATGTGGAGCAGAGAGGATCCCTCTGTCCCATCCCATCTCCTTCATCTCTCGTTTCCTTCGGGATCAATTCCTCCCCTGCTGGGACTGGAACCTTCCTGGGCAGCCTGTTATTTTTCCCTAATCACGTTTTCTTCTGTGGGTCTGATCCTTTCCCACCAGGTGCTCCTTCTTTTCTGCCTTGCAGTTTGCTTTAGATGATGCCTGTTTCCTTTCTAGTTTCTGACCATCCTCTGGGAAACTAAAGTTCTCCAGGAGGCTGAACTTCTTCTTCCTTGGAACATCAGAACCAGGTAATGAGAACACCTTTCCAACTTCAGGACTGAGTTCCCCTGGTCTGTTGATTTGCTGCTCAGCACTACCTACCTAGTAGATGCCTGCTGGCTTCAGGGAAGGTCTCTTCTCTCCCCTTTCTTCTTCCCACTGGGAGGACTGAGCTGCTGGTCAGGCTTCCCACAAGAGTAGTTTGGCTCTGCCCTGGGACTATGGTCTTACCGCTTATGAAAACAGTCAGAGGAAAACTTCATCTGTGGGTTCCTATGTCTGCTTTCCCACAGAGTCTGAAATTGCCTTCTTATCCCTTTTGATATAGTTGGTCCCTGGGGTCTCTTAATACTTTGGCACAGTAACTGTGAAGGAATCCCTTTGAACAAGAGAAAATGCTACCACGAGTGAGGGGTGGGTCTTCAGGCTTGGGATCTCAAGCTTGGCTACCTGAGGTCCAAGAGATCCAAAATTCTCAGCCTTTGGGGCTTCACATTGGGTTCTTTGAAAAATGGGTAACATATGGACCATTTTTGGTTTTTAAAAGATAGCAAAACAAAAAACCTAACCAAACAAACAAAAAAAAAAATGCAGAAAAGGGATCGGGGAAGCTCTCATGTTCCCGACTGCACGGGTGAGAGTCTGCATCTAACAGAAACAGCTGCTCCCAGGAGGAGTCCCCGGACCAGGCTGGGAAGCAGTCTGGGCATAGCCAATGGTGCAGACCCCTGCCTCCACCCCTGAACACACTCCTTGGTTTGCTTGCTTTTCATTGCACCCTATGAGTCTTATATACTACATATAAGCAGGATACTTATATACTACATGTGAGTAGGATACTCTCTGAAACTGGGTTGCGAGAAGGGAACAAATCCTTAACTATCTAGCCACGTGCCTCTCGCATGTCTCTCTGGGTCTATACATAGACTCATCTCATCATTACAATGTTTTGAGTTAATATTATTAGCTCCATTTTACAGGTGGGAAAACCAAGTCTTAGAGAGCTTGGCAGAGGTCACATGACTTATTAGACGCTGAGCAGGGAACTTGAGCTGGTTCTATCTTTCCACTACACATGCGGTTTTGCCCTTCCATGTGGCATTTCTCCAGGTCATCTTTCTCTTTAGCCCTGCCTGGCCTTAGTGGTTCAAGGTGGTCCACCGCCTTGCATTGTCACCAGCTCACACCCCGCTCTGGATTGGCGTGAAGATTTTCACTCGTGTGTGTCACTGAATGATGCCATTGGAAGCTTCTGCTGATAAGCGTGGGACCATCTGCTTGGCACATCTCAAATATTTTCAGCAGTGGGAGAGCAGCTCTAATTCCTTCAGAGATGAGAGGCTGCAGCCATCCTTCGAGATGTTGGGACCGGAGACCCTGCAGGCTGGCTGGGCATTGATGCCCCAGATGCGAAGAGGGAGCCAACCTGTGGCCACCTCTGACCCTTCCTGAGCAAATGACACCAGCGAGTCTGCTTCCCAGTTTTTCATTGCTTAGCTGTCCTTGACAACCAGAGTAAGATTTTCTCTCTTTCAAAAGCTATTTCTTGGGTAACTCTTTTCTGTGCTGGTTCTTCTTTCTTTCTTTCCTTTTTTTTTTTTTTTTTTTCCCGGTGTGTTGGATGTTTGCCGTTGGTGTGTGTTGGCAAAACTTCTCTTTCCTCCTGCCTTTGTTTTGGAAAATTTACTTCTTTGCTGAGTTAACTGTTCCCAGACATTGTTTTTCAACTTCAGGGTTGAAACTTCTGCAGTAGCGTTTTCTTTTTTAACTCACTGCAGGGGAAAGAATCTTAGGATCAATTCACGGTTTGAATGGTGGACTTGGAGGTTTTCACGATTGCTTAATGAAAGCTTATAAATGATAAAGAAGTTGAGGTTTGAAAGGGTTGTTACTGAATTTGATTCCTCTGGAGAAATCACTTGGCTGTCGGCTCTTGGGCATCACAGGGGCAAGCTGTATTGATGTTTCTTTGTTTTTCCTTAGTGGGCCCTGGCATCAGTATTCGCTTCTGTTGCTTTCGAAGTCATGTGCAGTCCTTTGGTGACAAGGTGTTTATTAAAAGGAATCTCCTGCTCAGTCTTGATCTTTGGTATGAGCATCTTAGCAACACTTCCCAGCGAGGATACTTAGGAGTAATTTGGTGAGAGAATGTATAGTGTGTTGTTAGATTGCTGTGGGTGCAGCAGTAAAAGGGTGGTAACAAGCTGGCCTCTAGCAGAGTGCCACGGCCTCGGCACCATTGACATTTTGAGCTGGGTAATTATTTACCATGTGGGCTGTCCCGTATATTGTAGGATGTTTAGCAGCATCTCTGGCCTCTACCAACTAGATGCCAGTAGCACACTCCTCTCCGTTGTGACAACCAAAAATATCTCCAGGCATGACAAACATCCCTTAGGGGACAAAATCACCTTCCCCGCTTTTAGACCAAGGCTCTAAATTGATCCAGTGGTGTGTTTGGAAAGGGAGCAAGAAGTCTCTGCTTCTGCACGCAGATGGCCCCAGTGCGGGGAAGACGGGAATGATGCATTTAATACCAGGACAGATGTTCCTGCCCTGCACATTCCCATCAGAGCCCTTGCCTGCCATGGAAATTCCATCTCACAAATGGGTTTCTGTTTGTCCAGGTGACTGCACACGCACACAGGGAAGAGTTTGCCCTTTTCTCTGGATCTGCACACCTAGAAAGTCCAGCCTAGGGTCAGGCTGTCTTTAAGTTGCCTGGGAACAACAGGCAGTTTCAGATGGCCCACTCCTCCAACCTGAGTTCTGCTGGCTTTTTTATCTTTCCTTTTTTTCTCCCTGCCTTTCTCCCCAGCCCCCTTTCTTTCTTCTAAGAGTGATGTGCTAGGCTGGGAATCTGGGGCCCTGGGAGGACTGTGCTCAACTGAATGGGAATGTGGAAGGGGTTGTTTGTTTCTGAGGTCTCTAGAGAACACTTGAGCAGCATAAATGTATGGCATTTAGAACTCTCTGCCGACTCTGAGTCTCCTTGTTTTTTCTATCAGCTCCGCCACCCATCTGCTGCTCTCACTTTCATTGAGAGGTAAATGCAGCCAGCAATCTCAAGTGGACCTGCCAGGACACAGGCTCTGCAAAGCCCACATCCTTCCCCATCTATGGAAACCACCATGCTTGTTTTCCCTGCTTGTTGATTCATTATCTCAGTTTGGCATTTCCATGAGATTCATACTGGCAAAGTGCTTTCAATCTCTAGCATTTCTTATACCCCAGCCTTTCAGAACTACATTAAAATGCCAGTATGTCAAGCAGTTAAGGCCCAGTGGGGTTAATCTGCTTGATGGAGGACTGGCTTCTCATGGTCAGTTTGACTGAAAGTGCAGCTCCCAGACCAAGCAGCCGTAGACACAAGCAGAATAGGCAGTGATCTCTGCACTGTACTTTGATCAATGTCAAAACCCCTCTTCTCAAAAGTCTCTTCAGGATTCAGATGCGATACTGCCTACAATTCTTTGAGTTTTGCAGGAAGGTGGTGGGTATTAAGTCCTACTTTCCACCATGGTCAGCCTGGCTTGTGGTGGCTTGCGTGAAGTGCTGGAGCCTGAATAGGCAAGGATCATCCCCATGAGGGCAGCCATGCCAGGGTGAGGGCAGTGGCAGTGGTGACATGGCAGGGATGTCAGTGCTTGGCAGAGCAGGATATCTGCGTGGCGGGTACAGGGAACTGGTGCTGGGTGTTGGCGCTCCTGCTGCGTGAGGTCTGTGTCTCAGGGTGGGGGGCAGGGGCAGCACAGTTCCAACAGGAAGTAAAAGAATCCAGCAAAGTGAGGAGGGCATCTGTGCAGGGCAGGGGAGGAGCTGTGCCAGACATAGGCAACCGTTCATAGGTGGGTTGATCAAATGAGTAAATGCATAGAGGGCCATGGAAGCCAGGTTTCTTAGAGAAGGGAGTTACAAATGTGGAGAGGGAGAAGACTCAAATGAATTCACTGGCGGTGGGTCAAAATTGGAGATATTGGGGTCAATTCATGATTATATGTGTATATTTTATAAAGATATACAAAGATACCAAAATACAGCTGTAGGTGTGTGTATGTATGACTATACATAAATGTATCTATGTACATATATTCCTTAGCCCTACCCCTGAGAGGGCCTGGGAGCAGTGACAGCCTTCTAGCAATGAGCACATTTTACACCCAGATCTTGGCTTCTAAATATAATTATTTACTGAAAGGAACCAGGGCTCCTTGGAGAAATGGCTGATTCTAGGCACTGGTGCAGGGGACATACAAGGTTATGGTAAAGTGTCCAGCTTTTTGTGTTGGAAGGCTATTAGGCGTATTGGAGGAAGTGTGGACCAGTGGGGAAGGTTGGATTGCTGTTTTGGCCCACTGAGGCTGCTGTGCCACCATGAGACACAGTTGGAGAGACCCAGGGCTGTTGGTTATATGGGTCTGACATGCTGGGGAGATGTGTGAGCTAAAGCTGTGCATTTGAATTTCATCAGCAAGTGGGGATGGTTGAAACGGTGGGATTGAGCAAGACCACCCAAGGAGAATCTGTAGAGTAGGAAGCGAAAAGGGTCGAGAATGGAGCCTGCAGACTGGCCAACATGGCAAAACCCTGTCTCTACTGAAAATACAAAAACATTTGTCAGGCGTGGTGGCGGGTGCCTGTAGTCCCAGCTACTTGGGAGGCTGAGGCAAGAGAATCACTTGAACCCGGGAGGCGGAGGCAGCAGTGAGCAGAGATGGCGTCACTGCACTCCAGCCTGGTGATAGAGTGAGATCTTGTCTCAAAAAAAAAAAAAAAAGAATGGAGGCCGGTGGAACTCCAACGTGCAAAGGACAGTGTAAGAAGGGATCCACCAAAGGAGACAGAAGAAGAACTGCAGGAAGGCAAGAGGAGAGCCAGAGGGAAGAAATATGCTAGGCTCTAGCATCATCTCAGAGACAGAGGCAAGGAGATGTAAAGTGGGGTTCCATAGCAACACTCACGCATTGGGGAGGGGCTCGAGCCCCAGATCTTGTCTCATCCCCCTTCTGGAGGACTTGGCTGAGAGCACTGTGCTGTTGAATGGATTGGCTCCTTTCTCTTATTTGTTCTGATGAAAGGACATGCCTGAATTTCCCCCCTGACATCAATTATTTTTACACATAATGGTGAAGCATGGTGTCCTTCATCAATAGATGTGTTTATTGATAATGATGATAGCTAGGAGTCACTCTGTTTCACAGAAGAAAGTGACAACAGAGACAGTATTTCTGAAAACAACTCATTCCTGTGTGTTTGTGTTGTTTTGGTTATGGGTTTGGTATTGGCTAGATGGTGCTTTAATAAATAAAAATCCATTCTTTGATAAATAGATCCATCCTTTGATAAATAAAAAATCCATCTTTTAAGGATTTTAATTACTGACAACCCAGTTGATAGTGTGGTTGCTTCTGGTGACATAAAAGCCATTAATAAATGTTCCAAAAGTCTTAACGGCCCCATGAATGGGTGTGTGAACTTCACACACAGATGGACTGTTGACAATGAGCTGGTGTGTGTGTATGTTGGGTGGGGCAGGGGAGAGCTAGATATAGCACCAATTTGGACCTGGGGCAATCCAGGCTCTGCTGCTGCCTTTGTTACTAAGTACGCAACCTTGGACTAGTCCTGAGTTAATTTCCTCACCTGGAAAAACAAGGGGGCGGTCTGCAGCATCTGCATGATTTTTTCAAGCTCTAAATCTTAATGATCAGCACAGGATGGTCTTTACCAATAAGGAAGTGTTTTTAAGAAAACTCCAAGCAGCATCCTTTCATGTCTTTGATAAAATACTCCAGTTTCTGGGGAAAAATAATTGTAACATATAACATATAACAAATTGCCATATTTACAAATGTTTCTTGCAATTCAATAAAAGAAATGAACCTAGAGTTTGAAAAAACAATCCATCGAAAAATACAAGTAACTGTTAACCTAAAAGAATGTCCAACCTCATTAGGAATCAGATAAATGCAAATTAAAACAAGGTATCTTTTATCACCTATCAAATTTGGGAATTTAAGAAACTGAAGATGTTGTAGAAAAAGAAACATATATGCTGTTAAAAAATTTATATACTGTTGATGTTGGTATTAATGTAATTGGCATGGTTATTTTGGATGACAGTTTGTTAATGCACATTTAAATCTTGAAGAATGTTTATACCCTTTGGTCTAGCAATTCCACTTTTAGAAATATGTCCTAGGGGAATAATTAGAGATGTGCACAAAATTTGCATCCATGTAAATTCATGACAGTGCTTTGTTTTTAAAAATAGCGGTGAAAAATCAGAAGCAAATGGTATGTCCAAGGCTAGGGGATTACTAAAAATAAATAATGAAAGCTGGGCACAGTGGCTCACGCCTGTAATCCCAGCACTGTGGGAGGCCAAGGCAGGAGAATCAGCTGAGTCCAAGAGTTCGAGACCATCCTGGGCAACATGGCAAAACCCTGTCTCTACGAAAAATACATAAAAATTAGCTGGCATGGTGGCATGTCCCTCTAGTCCTAGCTACCTG